TCTTTCTAATTTGCCCAGATTGTGTCTTCACATTCCCACCCACGGAAGTACTCGTTTTCCTGCTCTGATACTTCCCTGTCGTGGCTGTGCCCACTAGAGACCTCCAGGGTTGGTACAGCTAGTCACGTGCTCAAGAACTGCTTTCTGTGGGTATGTCAGATAGTTCTGCCGGGGACAGACTCACACAGAAACGCGTCCCCTGCCGTGGGGACCTCACAGAAACACTCTCCGAAACACATGTGGGCACAGACGGGTACTCCCGGGCTAACAAAAGCAGGTGCAGACAGGCACCTTAGCTGCACTTCCTCAATGTGTCATTCCAGGCAGTCTTCTAGCTATAATCTTGAAAATCAGTAAAAGTCCTTTACTGCAAACAACTGGGAATATGGTGCAACCCTCTCTGGCCATGGAGAGCATGAAACAAAAAAGCTCCCCCATGAGATCAGATGGTGCCTTCTTCCATCACCCCAGCGGGCACAGTGGTGGCCAGAGAAGGGAAGGCGGCTCTCGGCCGCGCCCTGGAACAGTGAGGGCCCAGCTGCACAGCGGAGGTGTGGCCTCTGGAACATGCAGGCCTTTGGCCCCCCGGGGCCTTCTGGGGACACGAAGTCTGTTCCAACCCCTTTCACACAGGAGGTTGTGGTCCTCTAGGAGACAGTATTTCCTCCCACACATCCCTGCAGCTAGTTTCCTTACAATACAGAAGTAAAAAAAAAAAAGAGGTAATGCTCCAAAATATCCTCAAGTTGGTAGAAAATAAGTGCTTTCTAAGAGGGTGTGGCCATTAGAAGGAAGAAAGACAGACACAGAGATCAAACAGAAAAACAGGAGGATGGATAAGGGATTAGGATGCAAGAAATAGCCCAGACCAGCTGGGGGCCATCTGGGAGCTCTGAGGAGGGGGAAGGACCGGGGTGCTGAGTTTCTGGAAAGTGGTAACTTTTCTGTGAGCAGAGGTTGCAGCTTTGAGGAACTGAAAGGAAGCCAGAGCCTCACCAGCCATTAAAAAAAAAAAAGCCAGTGGTTTCCCTACAGATTGGATTGCAGCAAGCTTGCAGCAAATTGGCGCAGGACTTTATCATTTGAGGGAAAGTTAGAAGGCATCTTGGGATGTAGTGAGACCAGGACACAATCTTGGGATGTCCGTGTAAAAATGGACAATAGAGAAATGAGGAAGATATTAGGTTGTACCTTATACAGAGGTTTTCTTCAAAGCCTCAGATAAGACTATAAGGTGGGAGGCCAACAACTATAGGATAAGCAGTAAATTATTATAATCAGTTATTTCAGGTTTGGTAAAGAAAAAAAAATTGAGGTAAATTGTATGCATTTGCATAGGGGTTACCTATAAAGGGGAAAGAAATAAATTCTGAAATCCATGTGCAACATACAGACGCGTTATGCATCCCCTCACCTGGACAGGGCACTGGGGGATATAGCATGCCTGAAACTAAGCTCATTCTACCTTTGTCACCCACCAAAAGTTAGCATCTGTCCCCTTCTTGCTGACCCCATGAATGGTACCGCTGTCCCCCGGCTGCCCATGCCAGGCCAGTCATGCCAGCCACCAAGATGCCACATGCTAATGACTGGTCACCAAGTCCTGGCAGTTCTATCTCCTTTGTAGCTCTAACCTGTGTCCCCCTTCCCCCACCCCAGTTCCCTCCATCATCCGTCATCTAACCTGTCATTGTCATCACAGCAGCAAGCTCCTAACTAGCCTTCCCAGTGCCCAGTATCAATCCGTGGACATCACTCTCCATACTGTTATTAGGTGGTTTTTGTAAAAAGCAAATCTAATCTTCCATTCACTCAGCAAACATTTTACTGAGCATCGTCAATGTGCCAATCTTTGTCCCAAGTGCATAGCTACTAGATATCTAATCAGAGTCCAATAGGAAGAGAGACAGTAAACATGATAAATTATGTGACATCTTTGAAGGTGTTAAGTGCTGCAGAAAAAAGGGGAAAAATAGAGCAGGACACAGGATCAGCAGTGAGTGTGCATGTGGATGGGTGTGTGTGCACAAGCTTTGAATAGCGTGGCAAGGATGGGCCTCATTGAGAGGATGGCATTCGCTCAAAGAGATGAGGGAATTAGCACATGGATATTGGGGGAAGAGCATTCCTTGCAGACAGAACATGCAGAGAAGCGCCCTGAGGTGGGGACCAGTGTGCACGCTGGTGTGATGGGAAGAGCATCCGTGCAGGGAGAGAGTGGAAGGCACGAGGTCAGAGAGCAGAGTGGTATCAGGTCACCAGAGCCTGTGGCAGTATGGAGCCATCGCAGTGGGTGACGTGCTCTGATTTCTGTATGGAACGATCGTTCCAGTGAAGGTGGTGACTCAGACTGGGAGTAGCAGAGGACATGGAGAGGCAGTGATGTCTCTGTCCTGTTCATAATCCTTCAGTTCATAAAATATGAACACTTCAGTGTGTCCCACGAAACACTTTAAGATTGGGGCCCTGCATATATTTCCAGATCACCTCCTCCTGGTACTTTCAGACCCCAACAGCCCCATGTTCTAGAGCAGGTGGGTTTCCAACAGGCATCCTCTTCTCTCTTGGCCCTGAGAGTCGGTGGCTTCCTCTGCCTGAACACAACACCCTTCTGGACCTCGGAGAAGCAGCTTCTCAGGGAAGTCTTTCTCTCCTCTCCATACCAGGCATCCCTGAGGGAGTCCTTGCTGACTTCAGTGGCTGGGAATATAGCTCTGAGACAGAATATTCTGCCCACAATCTGTTTCTCTCATTAGCCTGAGAGCTCCTGGAGTATGAGAAGAGTGCTTTTATTTCTGAGTCCCTACTGATTGGATGGAAGCATGATAGATGGATAGAAAAATAGATGGATAAGTAGACGGGTGGATGAGTGGATAAATGTTGGCCGTTTTATCAGATCTTGAATTCAAGGGATTTTACTTTTAGTTTAAAAGTAGTTAAACATAAGAAAATGGTTAAAAACTATGAGACATTAACTTCTCCATTGTTGAAGAGGTGACTGAGGGCAACTACCTGTGAGCGTACATATACATCGACTGCACGTGATGGCTGTGTTGCTGGAACATTGAATATAAGAGGAAATTTGATAAATGACATCTTATTTGCCCACTGTCCAAATATAATTTCAGACATGCTTCATTTAAATGACACCCTGTTCAGTTAGCAGGGGTTCACACTGTAGCTTTAAGATCCTTAATCCTCGTCTTTCATGCCCAGCCTGTCAGATTCATCACTGAGCTACAAATGATTGCTTCCCGTCTGGCAAAATACCGAGGGGAACACGAGTCTTTGGGCGATGCATACGTATTGCCTACTTCATCTGGTTTTCTAGTGTTGTCGTTGTCTAGTTTGGGTTTCAGGGTCTCCTTTTCTCATCTGGAGAAACTCTGCAGCATGCCGACTGCATGGGTCCTGGGGGATCAGGGGAGGTGACTCACTGGCAATGACCAGGACTGGCTTCTCGTCACCAGAAATCTTTGAATGACGGACCCGCTGCTGACAAACTTCTCCACAGGGCCACTTCTTTCATCAAGACCATCTCTCCACAAAAGCACACAGTAGGCTGCCTGGAAGATGAAGCAAGAAGAGAAGCTCATTTTCTCAGATTTGAATGTTTGAGTCTATCTGGATTTGAACATTACTCCAAGCCTGGAATAAGCATAATATAAATTACGTCTGAATTAAAGAGTTGAAGAATTCTCAGTGAGTAGATCCCATGTAGATAGGCATCTTATCTAACTTACGAACAGCCCAGTAGAAGTATAAGCCCCCCTACCACACCCCTGAAAAGTAGACATTCCAAACTGTCCTGATACTTCCAGAAAGGGGGAACCCCCATCTCACAAGGCAGCACAGAAAAATATGGATGATTTGCAAATATTAGAAGGCAATCCCTTATGTGGCTCCAAATAGGCCTTTCACACATCCAGGAAACAGGGTAGGTTGAACACATGCATCTAGTTTTATATTCTCCTAAACAAAACTTGTCTGAACAACAAGAAAGGGATTTTGTTTTCCTCTGAAGCCACAGTCCCACAGGGGTGGGGCAAATGAGAAAAAAGGCAGCTGTAAAATTTGGAAGTTGGAAAGCAGATGAACAAAGAGTGAATAACTTAGGAAACCTTGATTCCTTAGATTAGCAGTGGGAAAAGCCGAGAGCTAAACCATTCCACAGAACAGAAGCTACCCCCAGCCCAGGAATGGGCAGCACTGCCTGCTAGGTTGCTAAGAGCCATATTTTCCCCTTTTAGGCAGGAACTAACAATAAAATGCCACTAAAATGTCACTCTTACCTTTAGAGAGACAAGATGAAATCCACTGAAAAAAGGAGATGCCATAACCAAGGAAAATTCAAAGAACAAAAAGAGTTCTTGGAAATTAAAATGGTGATAAAAATTTTTTTTTAACTCGGTGGAATGGTTAGAAGATAACATTCTCCCAAAAAGTGGAACAGAAAAAACAAAAATAAGGAAAGGGGAAAAATAAGAAAACCACAGGACCAGTCTGGGAAGTACAATATCCAAATATTAGTCATATGAAAGAGAGAAAAGAAAGGTAAGAAAACAAATAAAACGTTTGAGATCATTTTACAAAACATTGAGAGCATAGAGAAGATTCTAGAAGTGGCCAGAAGAGGGAAAAATCAGTTCACTATGCAGAGAATCAAGAATTATAATATATTTGGACTTCACCACAGCAATACTGGGAGCTAGAAGACAATGGAGCAATCCTTTCAAAATGTGAAGGAAAATCATCTCCAATGTTGAATTCTATACCCAGATAAACTATTATTGAAGTGTGAGGGTAGAGTCATTTTCAAAGATGCAAAGTCTCTAAAATGTATTCCCATGTATGTGCCCTTTTCAGGAAACCACGGAAGGATTTTCTCTATAGAATGAGAGGCAAAACCAAAAAGACAAAGAACTAGGATGCAGGAAATGAGATGCAATGAAGTAGAGAAGCAAACGGCATCTGGGGACCGCAGAGAAGGGAGGCCCAAGATGGTAGCCGTGCAGCAGGCAGAGGGTATCCAGAGCCCTTCAGAAGAGGAAAGCAGTGGATTGAGCATCTCACGGGGCAGACTGACTTGGCAGGAGATTGAGAGGTTTGGTAAAGAATGCTTAAACTCAGAAGTCTAAGCACATGAAAGAAGAGAGTCAAAAGATAATGCCCCAAACTGGAAAAACAAGAAGCAGCAATACAAGTGTTTAGAGACATGGAATGGATTCCAAATAATTAACTGAAAGAAGGAAGTGTGGAGCCCTTTGGGGTTGGACCTGGGGAGATGGGTCAAGCGTCTCAAATTGCAGAACTATTTGACTCTTTGAGCAAGTGCATGTGGCTTAGGTAAAAATTAAAATATATTCCTAAAAAGAAAAGAAAAGCATAATTTCTAAAAAAAAATATTCCAGTTCTTCAAGTTCTTGAAGATGACTATTGTCTGTCTCCCTTCTCCCAGGTAAACATTTTTGGGTTTCTCAGCTACCCTTCATAGCACCCCATTTCAAGATGCCTTGTCGTCCGGGCGTCTCCTCCGGACAGTGTTCTGAGGGCTCAGGACCGCTCTCCGCAAGGCCCCAGCCACATGGCCGAGCGAGGCTTTACCTGCGGGCAGATTACCGCCCACATTCAAACCATACGTTCTTCATCCTTTGCTTACAAATTGATGTTTTGAACCTAAATCTAGGGCTTTCATTCTTGCTAAATCTCATTTTATTGCTTTTTTTGCATCCTAAATCTATTTGGTTGGAATAATTTCCAATGCTGATATTGACACCCCCAGTAGATCAGCCCGCTGGCTCTCAGCTTTGTGTCATCGATAGGTTTCACAGCACTACACAGGACCGGGTGAGAACAGAATCCTGTGCTAGGTCACTAAAAACTTTCTCTCAGGGTGGAATTTACCTGGTATTGTTCCCTTCCGCTTTGAGCAGAGGTGTTCATTCATTTCCTCAAAAGATATAATCCAAGGACACCTTCAGGGTTGGAACGGAAAAGAAAGGGTACTGGTAAACAATTCCAGGAACTTTTTCCTTCTGAAGAGTCACAGCCGGACAATTCCCAGGATCATTCTGTTGCACCAGCCCTCTCCCCAAACACACACACACACACACACACACACACACACACACTGAAGCAATTTCTCAGTGAGCAAGAGTCCCGTGAGGCACAGACCTTCCACATCCCTGGAGCTGGGACTTCTGGTTGGTCTGCCTTTAAGAAGTGTGAGAAGGGACTCCACAGACCACACATAGAACCCAGTGCCACCTCTCAGGGTGTCCTCAGGGGGGGCAGGGCACTTGAGGTTTGAGTTGCATTGATGGCCTTCTCCAGTCTCTGCTTCCTTGGAGATTCACACTCGTGCTTGGATAAGTGTGAAATTATATTTTGGCAATCTGAAAGATCAAGTTCAAGGTGAACAATAGGCTGATGACACAAATGTACTCAAATTCTTCAAGCCAGCACTGCGGAGAGATGTTCTCCAGATCTAACCAAACCGATTTCAGAGTAGATGAAAATGGACAGAGGAGAGACAATATTTAATTCTCCCCTGTAGATACCATCAAAAAAGAGCAGCTTTTGTCACAAGTATCCTAGGAAATCTGTCTACTTTATGTTGGTAGAGATTAAAAAAGCCTATTATGAGTCTTGTCTGAATTAAGAAAAATCGATCGACAATCAGAAACTATCAGAATGAAATATAAGTTACAATCAAGTCCTTATTTTAGAGACTTTGTGCCCATCAGTTAATTCATGCACAGGAGGCTGAGTCATTGTTTCCAAACAGGAATTCCAATGAGTTTAAAGGTTTTGTCCTAAAATTTTATCTCTTAAAGTATGAATACATGTCTCAAATCAGGCACCTCTGATCACAGATCACCATTACCATCTCCTTTATCATATTTAGTCTGTAAACTTGGTCAGTTTTTCTCTTCTGCTCCATTTTCCCACATGAAAACTCCTTTTCCTAAATTAAATGTATCCAGAGAAAGGCAATATAGGAGATCAATGGTATTTTGAAGAGCAGATTAATGAAAGTGGATTAAAAGATTTTTATTCAAGAGAAACTTAAACGAGGGAAGATTGACAGAAAAAAATGAGCTGAAGGATTCTCAGGGCTCTACAAGGGGCAGTGCAGGCTGAAGAGACATACTTGTTATTTGCTCTATTGTTGGAAAGCAGACACTTCATAAAGGAACAATGTCGGACTTTTTTCACTGCTTCTCGAAAATTGCTTATTAAAGAGAGACATTCCACTTAAACAGCGGGATCAGATGCACTGGGGCGTTGTTGTGGAAGCCAAGCGCATTTAGACCATAAACTAAGTCTTACAAGGATAATTCCAGAGGTGAAGTGGAGGTTGTCAAGAAGTCGGCATTGGTTTCTGAAGTGCGTCATTGGAAAGCAGAAACAAGTGGGTCTTGAGTTCTGAAGTCTGGGGATCTATGCAATCTATAATTTCTGCACTCTTTGGCTTAGGTGGGTAGGGGATAAGGGGGCTTGGGTGGAAAGTTCGAGAAAACTCAGTCATAAATAGCTTCATCAGGCAAAGATGGATGGAAACGTGTGTCTGAGTTGTAAGGTAACCTAGCAGAAAGTTCTTTTGGGGAGAAAGTGAGTCCTCATAAACCTTCCTTCATCCTTCAACAATGCAAGATGGTCCAGCAAAGGTTATAACCAAACCAAGACAGAATGGTGAGTGATGGTCAATTTGAAGGGTCTCTTACTGGTTTGACAGGACCACTATTCACAGAAGATTTTCAAGAAATAGCTTTTGAGTGGATTGAAACATACAAATTTAATATTTGAAAAGTAGTCAAAAGTAATGAACAATTTAAATGAAAAAAATATGCTGCCATGAGAGCAATTAAAAAGTACAGAGGAAGAGAACTTTATTATGATATCACTAATAAAATGAAAGGAACGATTGCAGGCATACTTCTGAAATACTGCAGGCTTAGTTCCAGACCACTGCAAAGAGCAAATATCCCAATAAAGTGATTCATGTGAATTTTTTGGTTTCCCAGCGCATATAAAAGTTATGTTTACACTTGACTGCAGTCTGTTAAGCATGCAGTGGCAGTATGTCTTTAAAAAATGTGCATTCCTTAATTTAAAAATACTTCATTGCTAAAAAAAAAATGCCAAACTCTTGCTGATTTCACCTTATCCAGTTGACCAGAACTGAGTCACATGACACCCCTGAAACCAAGGGATCTCTGCCTCGGTTTTGTTGGCAAGGAAGCAGGGAGAGAATGCCTAGTGGGTAGCTAACCACGGGTGCTCCACAATTAACCATTCCTCTGTTACACCAGACAGCTTGGTTTCTGCTGTAGCGTTTGAAGGACAATTTGTCTCTCAGAGTATTCATATGAATTAATAAATAATTGTAAGAGCTTTTGTAACAGGTGAGGTCACCTCTAAGTTCTTTCCATCTGCCGCCATGCGTGATGCCTGTGAACAAGGTCACTCCTTTTGGGACTGACTCTGAAAGCCCAGTATCTGTTCCAACCCTGGCTGGAATACACACAGGTGCTCAAAGTCTCCAGCAAGTCAGTATTGGCTGAATCCTCACTCTCGACTGGGCTTCGTGGAGCTCCAAACGAAGACCCCTCGCCTTCCGGCTGGACACATCTGGACGAGAAAGCGAGAGCAGCATACAGGAAGCGTGTCCGTGCTATGCTGGACCTTCATGGGGCCCAGAAAAGGGAGCGATCAGACAGTCCGTCAGATTCAGAGACGCTCCCGTGGAGGAGTTAAGCAAGGCCTCAGAATAGGAAGATTTTATATAAACAAAAGAGAGGGGGGAGGCAATTCCTGACCAGGAGGGTAATCTGAGAACAGGCTTCTGG